GAATGCTGGGAATACTGGGAATACTGGGATTGGGACATGGAGCACACGGTGCTGCTGCAGCTGGCCGAGGTGGGAATGCTGGGAATACTGGGAATACTGGGAATACTGGGAATACTGGGATTGGGACATGGAGCACACGGTGCTGCTGCAGCTGGCCGAGGTGGGAATGCTGGGAATACTGGGAATTACTGGGAATACTGGGAATACTGGGATTGGGACATGGAGCACACGGTGCTGCTGCAGCTGGCCGAGGTGGGAATGCTGGGATTGGGAATGGGGTTGGGAATGGAAATGGTCGGAATGATACCAGGAATGGGAATTGGGAATGGGGAATTGGTAGGAATGAGACCAGGAATAGGAATTGGGAATGGGAATTTGTGGAATGACAGCTGGGAATGGGGGATTTGTGGGGAATCGGCTGCGTGGGCAGAGCGGCCGAGGTGTGGATTGAAACCTGGATGGAAAACAGCGGGAAAAACCTCGGCATTCCCATAAAAAAACCGGGATTGGGCCGGACTGGGGTGGGACTGGAGGGTCCCTGCTCTGCTGGGGTTGGAGCCCAGGTGGAATTTCCTGGTTTTTTATTCCCAGAAAAAGGGATTTGTGACAGTCAGCGAGATCCGGGACAGCCTCAACTGGGAGACGGAGCGAGCCAAGCAGGCGCTGGTAGGTGGGAAACTGGGAATGGGAAACTGGGAAAATGGGAATGGGAAAGTGGGAATAGGAATGGGAGTGGGAAACTGGGAGTGGGAAACTGGGAATGGGAAACTGGGAAAGTGGGAATGGGAAAGTGGGAATGGGAATGGGAAAATGGGAATGGAATGGTAATGGGAACAGCAATGGCAGCTCAGCACATCCCAGTCCATCCCAGTCCATTCCCAGTCAGTCCCAGTCCATTCCCAGTCCAGGAGCACCTGCTGAAGGAGGGCACAGCCTGGCTGGCTTCCGGGCCCGTTCCCGTTATTCCCAATCCCAGTCCATTCCCGTTTTTCCAGGAGCACCTGCTGAAGGAGGGCACGGCCTGGCTGGCTCCCGGGCCCATTATTCCCGTTATTCCCAATCCCGTTTTTCCCGTTTTTCCAGGAGCACCTGCTGAAGGAGGGCACAGCCTGGCTGGCTCCCGGCCCCGTTATTCCCGTTATTCCCAATCCCGTTTTTCCCGTTTTTCCAGGAGCACCTGCTGAAGGAGGGCACGGCCTGGCTGGCTCCCGGGCCCGTTCCCGTTATTCCCAATCCCGTTTTTCCAGGAGCACCTGCTGAAGGAGGGCACGGCCTGGCTGGCTCCCGGGCCTGTTATTCCCATTATTCCCAATCCCGTTTTTCCCGTTTTTCCAGGAGCACCTGCTGAAGGAGGGCATGGCCTGGCTGGACGCGCAGGCTCCGGCCGAGCCGCAGTTCTGGCTGCCCGCGCTCTTCTCCGAGCTCCACGCCCAGGACGGCGCGGCCGGGCCCTGAC